TTTTTTTTTTTTTTTTTTTTTTTTTCTTCTTATCATCCGGAAAAATCGCTTGCTTAACGATTGCAAGTGCAAGTGATTAAACGAAGTGAATTTTAATGTAATCCGTGTACAATCTTTGAAAACAAGTATGTCACAAAGTATATACTTTCACTGAAGTTAAAATAGATCATAGTAATGGTGGCCATCATCAGTTTCTACTCTGCATGATATCTTTCAAACAACACATAAACACGCGTTAAAAAAAGAAATCGATTAAAAATACATATATATATATTTATTATATATTATATATAATATTATTATATAAATAAAAAAATATTATATAAATAAATATATAATAATATAATATATATATAATTTTATAATATATTATATTATAATATTATAATATTATTATATTATTAATATTACATATATATCGACAAAAATCGACTTCAAACAACGAGATAAGAAATAATGCTGAAGCCGGACTTCTTGAATTAATATTACAAATATCCTATTTAATTTTCACGAAGGAACGGTCGAGTTGGAGTGAAAAAGAAAGGTCGAGAGAATCGAATCGAGATCGGTCGCACGGATTGGTGGGTGTCGTGGAAGGTGGTCCGTTCACGTATCGAGCTAAATCGGCGATAATTTTCAAAGGCACCCCGATGTGTACACCGATGTATGCGCGCGCAGTGTATATGCGTGTGCACGCGCGACAGCGATGCCAAGAGAAATCGAACTTGATCGTTAAGCGAGCCGCGACGTGAGCTCGGCCCATTAGCCGCGTTGTTTTGCCGCGTGCAACGACAGTTTGTGGGCGATACCTAGCCGAAAAAAAACCGTGGTAGCCGTTAAACCGTGGAAAAAGGGACGGGCGTGAACGAAAGAGACGATAACGATCGATGATATTTTTTTCAAGAAAAAAACTTTTTGAAGAAAAGAAAGAAGAAAGGGGATATTTAGAAAATCGATTGATTAATTTGCAAGAAAATTTAACGTAGGAATCTTATATGCGTTTCGATTTTCGTTCACTGAAAATTCTGTAAAACGTAACGTTCCATTGTTTACTAATTTGAAGAGAAGGAGTTGAGAAATTTATGTTAATGGTAATGAGACTTGAAGATGTAAGCAGATATTGTAATGGTGATGGTGGTAACGCTGGAACTCATTCAAATTCGAATTATTTATTGGGAACCGATGGTATGCTATCGACGATGATATTATCGACGATGAGATCTACAGAAACGCACGAGTACGAGTATCATTAGCGTCCAATAATAATAAGCTTCGTAGCTCGAGATGGATCCGTGAAAGGAAAAAGAAAACGGAAATTAAAAACTATATTATTTTTCTCTAACAACAATTCCAATTTTTCAAATTCTTAATAAACAATGCAGCAAACAAGATTTTCAGAAATATATTTCATCGCTACAAAATTTTTGCATAGCAAAATTGTATAGTTAAAATGAATCTGTCTGGAAGATAGCATTATCTTAATACGTTACACGAATCAGTTAAAACGTTAAAACCATAATCGCATAGCTCGTTAGTCCCGGGCCAATTAGGATCTTCCATTTATCGTTGATCGATCGCCGATTGTTCCTTCGTATATACGTTATAAATTACCCATTATGCGTGCGTCAAAAATATGCTAATGTCCTCGTCGCGGTACCGTTAGAATTGATAAGCGGGAGAGAGAGAGAGAGAGAGAGAGAGAGAGAGAGAGGGAGAGAGGGAGAGAGAGAGGGAAGACAGGTGCCCTTAACGGGCGTGGATGACAAGCGGCGATCGTTGTCATTCCGCGTGTAACATCGATCCACGGCAAATCGTAAATCGTGACTGGAGGGGAAGTGTGCACAATGGTAATTAGGAATTCTTATTTAAATGGAGCATCAGATAAGGGCAAGAACAGCTAGATATATAGCGATTCCACGTGCGACGAATTCTTAACTGTATTTCTCCAAGCCTCAACCCCACCATTTCTCCCTCGGTTTTCAAAACCGAGTTCTACCAACCGCGAGCAGCCAATCTTAACTTAACGATAAAACACCGTCCAATGATGATCTCCGTCCAATCTGTTGCGTTTAAGGATTTAAAGTTATTTTCGTGTTATTATCTCTCTCTCGTGAGCTAATACCGTCGAACGATCGAGTCGAAAGATAGAGAAAAGTACGAATATACATGTACGAATATACATGTTTTTATTCGACGGATTGGAGAACGGGAAAAAAAGAAAAAGAAGAAGAAGAATTTCGCAAATGGACGAATAATTAAAGGCGATTCGGATCATGATGCGAGTGGTACGGTTCACACAATTACTTTAGTTGTTTTTATCTACTTCTCAATAGGACGAGGATGGTGTGGGTACGCGACGGTAGACGAGAAGACGCGCATCGTACATACGCGTACACTCGCATTCATAGGCCCCGGCCTGTCATACTCATCTCCGACTCCGTAATAGGATTCTCCATTCCCGTGGTAAAGTTCCCATCGTCTGGGCCTATCGCCTCTTTTCAAACACGCAACCTCACCCGTAGATCGTGTCAAAAGATTCGCGACACATTAGATTCGGATGAAAAAATAAGAGGACAAAACATTTCATTGTCATTCTTCTTCCTTTTCTTTATTTATTTATTTATTTTTTTTTTTTTTTCCTTTGCGAAAAATACGAGAGTAATTCTTTTAATATTAAGTCGAACCGAGAAGAATTGAAGAACAGGATGCTAATGGACGAAAGCTTCTGGTATTTCACGGTATTTGGAACACGGGTCGATCGCTCGAAATATTGGAACGATGGTCTTTTCCACGGAATGCGAATATCTGATCGAGGAATGTCAATGATCCGTGAAATGCAAAACCCAAACGTTCTAAATAGACCTTTTTTTTTTGTAAAGTAATCATATAACATGTGTACACGTGTAGAGAATAGTCAGCTGCTAATAGAGATTTCACTTCGCTTAATGAAACGCATCGATTCGTGCAACTACCAATCAATAATCATTACCGTTATAAATTGGAAAAATTAATAATGATATATCAACTGCTGATTTCCAGCAAACATTTGATACTTTTACATCGCCATGTCGATAATATAACGTTACAAATCTATCCGTTACACGGTTCTCGAAATCTAAAATTACTTCGAGGAATATATCGATCGATCGAACGAACGAACGTTGTTCACGTTGCGTTCGAAAACGGCATTTCGGCGGTTGGGAATCGATAATGAGGGACGAGGCGTAGAGGCGGTCGGGTCCGCCGTGTCTCTCTGAAGATTATGCAGGAACTGGGCCAAGTCGAAATTTGACACACTTACCGGCCGCGTGTTCGAATTCGAGCGCCACCTCGAGTGCACGCGGGGTGGAAGGTCGGTGTCGGTGCGGAGACACGGAACGGTCGGAAGCAGCCCGCGATGGGTCGCGTGGTCGCGCGATGAAACAGCAAGATATTCCGAATTCCCGTTGAGAAATCGAAATTACGTCGAATCCGCTCGTTCCAACTTCGACACGCTTTCGACCATTTAAAGAAAGTTCTGACGCGCAAAATTCTCCGATCGAATCCTC